AAATTTGGTTTAGCAAATAGCTATATCCCGAGAAGCTGAGCTAATGACAAAGGAACGCCTCTGTTGTGGTTTGAACATTTTCGACATGTTCATGCGAAGAATTCGTCAAATGATGGGCGATGATCCTGTCAGTTTGAGATTTTATATTCGGCGATTACTGTCATAATCTTTGAATCGCACGAGTGCTCTTCCAGATTTGGACTGGCGGTTATCCTCCGAACGGTGTCATGTGGGTTGACGAATGCGTTGAGTTCCATCGTGTCTGGTCTGCCCTCCAATTTTTCATCTGTCAACCTCGTGCTACTGACGACGAACGTTTAGTCGAGTGAGTTTGTGAAATTGTTAACCATAGTTCAGTTTTTTCATCGATAAGAAAGCAATTATGTATCATATCTCATTGTCTCTTCCTGTTAACTACGACATCGTATGTTCAATCAATAACCCTCAGACGGGACTCCTCCGTTTATCCTCAGTTGCGTTTTGTATCAAATCCGGGTACAATTCTGAAATGTACAGTATCAAAAGTATGTTTTTTCTTAGCGAGATCTGACCCGAGCGGTTGTTTGGGCTGCATGCAGTCGAGACTTCTTTCGGTTTTTTTTTCTTACTTTGACAGTTTATTTCATTGTGATCCAAAATCCCTTGACGATGTCGGATTCCAAAGTTGAGGAAAAATTGAAAATAATGAAAAATTTCAAAAACGCTCCTGAGCATATCTATGAGCATTCTTAAGATTGAGCCGTAGGTGTCAGTTTCTGAGCGAGATGCTTCCTTTTTTATGAAACGGCAAGTGCCAGTGGAAACAACAAATGCGAGGAGTCATTTCTGAGATTCATTACAAACGCTGATTTTGTTTTCATTTGCCCTCCGTAGTTCCGAGTATTTGTAATAAGTGAGTTCATCAGGAAAAGTTAGGGCTTTATTTACGTGATCGATCTTATTCTCCTTTTGTCAGTAAGAAGCATAGTATGACAAGCTTTGACGAGCGTTGGCGTCATTTTTTCCCTTGAGTATTTTCCTCTAGATGGAGATGCCTTCAAAGTGGTGGTGATGTACTTAAAATATTCATTATTTGAATAGGGAGGCTCACCATTCCTTCTAGGGTTGTGACTATGCATGGATAAACAAGAGTGCAAATTGTACACTTGAGTAACCAGAGTATAGTTTATGAATAAGACACGAGAGAGTGGAGCAGTAGGGACAAAAAGAAATCAGGTAAAGACCAGGGCAAATAACGGTCACATAGTTAAAAAGAAGAGGAAAATCTTTAAAAAAACAATATGAGATAACTAGTGCACCATTAGCTGCACTTGAGGTCCTAAAAGCGGAATACTACTCGATCTTTACAGCGTAAGATATCATGTCCTTTTTTCTTTTTTACAACAGAGTAATTTAGTGCCTAAAACTTAGGGATCTGGTCTTATAATAATAAGTGATCCTCTTTCCTTTCTCCCCTTTCCCCTTTTTTTCTGGTTTAACGGTTAGATTAACAGCAAAAAATTACAGTTTGGCACATTAGTAATTGATTGTTCTCCATCATGTTGATTCGGTTAGAACAGGCGGCAAATGTTTCACTTTAGTTGTTATTAATTTTGCTTACTAAAATTCATACATATTAAGATGAGACGCTGCACTTAATATAAATGTCAAAATTCCCTCTACAAAGATGCCTAAGTGAAGGTTTATCTGCTACAAAACTTATCTTCCCCATTTCATCTCGTTTACAAGTTGTACGGTAAATGTTCTAATTGCACATTTATATAGGGAGCTTTTTGGCGACTCTTTACAATGGGCTGGGATGTCGATCATTTGCTTGTTAGGACAACAGCGACGGTTTGAAGTTTTAGACTTCTGCTATCATCTCCATAGAATACAGAAACTTGATGGAAAGGATGAGACTATCAACAATGTTGTAAGTGAATTTTTGATCTTTGACATGTGTTTTACTTCGATTGTTTTCTTTACAGCGCCTAGCTCGGATGGTCGACAGGATAAGACGTTTCCAGCTGTTGAACTCTCAAATTATAACTATTCTGACAAACTACTTGAATCCCAGCGAAGAGTTTGAGGAAGAAAACGTTCGGGAGTTCATGCCACCTACGCACCCGTCTCTTAGCGGGCAATATCCCGTGGAATCGTAAAGA